TCGCACCAGACATCATTATTCGACCACGAAACTAGTGAGTTTTAAAATCGCCATTGTGTGGTTTCTGTCTTTCATGGTATCCCTGTCAGTGACGCTCCTTGGTAAGTACTATTCAAATCTAGTAGATAAATATAGTAGAATCTGTAACAATATCTCCTCCGCTTTTGACAAAAACAAAACATTTTCAAATATTGACATTCAGCCCTGTAGCACACTCTCATCAGCGACGAAGCCAGTTAGGATGGCACTCTAGGATAATATTTGTTTCAAAGTATTTTTTATACTTAAATTTCAATTTTTAGCGCCTCTTGGCGTTATCGGCACAATTAGTGCCGTAAGCGATCGTCTCCTTACCCTCGAGCCGAACCTAATTCCTACGGTCCGGTATTTATACATAACATTCTAATNTACGGTCCGGTATTTATACATAACATTCTAATTGTTTAAGATGTGTTTATATTTTTACAAGTTATCCTTGAAGTTTTTAATAAACATTTTTAGAGAGTAAAACTATTCTTTGATAGTTTAACTTGATCTATTCGGTGACATTTTAAATAAAAACCCACAATTTTAGTTTTGTAAAAAAATATCTCTAAATTCGGCCTATAATATGAAATTTAATTAATAAAGACATGGATTTTATTTATGCATTTCAATAACTCCTTTGAAATTTAAGCAATTCTATGGCCTCTTTGAGTTTCCAAATACAAAAATATCTCTTCAAGCTGACAGACGTTCTTCAGAGAATTAAAAACTCGCGTTAGAACCCTTTCGTACCTAGGTGATATTCAGAGCTTTTAGAGTAAACCAAAAAAATATCTAAATAATTATCTTAACACAATCATTATTTTAAGAGAAATCGAACAGCTAGCATTAAAAAAAATCAGTCTGTATATATTAACTGTTTAATTAAACATGAATACGTGTTTTAGTTTCGATGTTTTTACCTCTCATTTTTCCACCTCTACATTTTTCTTTAGACAGTATTGAAATAACGTCAGAATCACAAAATAACACTTAATTTTCGAAATACCCAAAAATATGAGACATAAAATTTGGTATTTAGTTTATTGGTTTTCTGAAACAAATATATAACTTCCGTAGATATCCTACAACATGATATCTCCGTGACAAAATAATAACATTAAAACAGATCGTATTTTCAAAGAAAAATTATTAATTAAGTTTTCGATTTTTAATAATTTTCTATCGCTTAAATGATGACTAAACATTGAATAAAATATATTAATACATTTCAAATTAATAATAATAAATAAATTCCTCTACATTTGATTAATAATGACATATCTTTTAAATATTTCAGTACCGATGTAATGTTACACATTTGTATAGTATAATGTTGTAAACACACGACATGCGTCCACAGCATATACACACCATCGGCTGAAACATAGAAAATAAAAATGTTGAAATTTCGATTTTGGTTAAGGTTACGGTTTTTAAAGTTTGTTTTTTTAGGTTTAGTTTTGTAATTTTCAAAGGGATTCGGTTTCAATACCAATCTTTTTGGTTCCTATGTCTAATTTGTTGTGTACATCAAAATTAACCTGGAATTGTTACATTAAAATATTTCTAGTTTGATGCTATAATGGTTCTATCATTTGTTATGTATATAAATTAAATGTTCATTTATGATAAAATTGATAAATTTTATCAAATCATTATTTTGTTAACAAATTTTGAGGAAATATTGTCATTTGCGATTCATGGTATGTGGGAATTTTCTTTATAATATTATAAATATAGATAATAAATATGCATAAAAGTAATATATGTTTTGGCGGGTGCAATAGTTTTACATTAAAGGCACTTGTGTAATCTATTGTGTTCCTACTAAATAGAGAACTAAATAAAGAATATAATTCTTCTCTATATAAAATATAAAATTTTAGAAGATAATCGTGTTTTATTTTAATAGAACATCCAAAGCCGCTGTAGCTGAGTTTCTCCAAGCTTTTAATTTTTAATATTTAAAATATGATTTCAGAATATCATCATACTTTGTAGGCAAAAATGTTTTTTTTTTATTTTTTAAAAGTTACGTGACATAATTTGTTACTTATATCGTCAGAAAATTAAAATTCTCAAAAAAAATTCGTTTAATTTAAAATTCAAAAAACTAATTATTTAATGTTTAATTTTTTTTTATTTCATAAACGAAAAACATACGTTGTCTTTCAAATTTACTGTAATAAATAAAATATATATTTTGATAGCATTTAATTGTTATATTTTATTAATTTATCGAAGGAGAAAATGAAGCAACACAAATGTATCGATTAAATTGTCATAAATGACAGTTTATTTTAGATATATCACATGTAGATTCAAAAGATAAAATAACAAAAAATTGAACAACAAGATCTTCATATACATAAATTAATGTCGCAAACAGATGAGTATTATATATGTGGGCTATTTATTTATATGCCTCTATTAACTTCGATGCAAAGCTGAGAAGGTATTGGTTTTACTAAGATGTGTTTTTTTTTTGTGTCTGTTACCACTTTTTCTCAGCTCTCACCGAACGGATTTCTTTCAACGATACGTCAAAAGATCACAAATCGTATCTAGTCGTAAAAATTACCCTTAAAAATTGAAAAATTTTCCCTCGTTCCCCGTAAATGGGGAAACCTCAAAAAAAATTACAAATTTAAAAATGGCTAATTTTCGAAATTTTTCCAATTTTTTTACTAAAAACTGCCATAACTTTTTCAAAAATGAATATATCATAATACATTTTTTTTTTATAGATGCTTGATGTCTTTACCTATCATTTGGTATATTTTTTTTGTAAATTTGACCCTTTATCTGCTCACAGGGGGGGATTTAAAAAGAAAACTTTTTCACAAAAGTTAACTTTTTCAACTTAACTTTTGAAAATGTTCCGGAAGGTCTGACACTTTTATATAAATCTTAAATTAAAGCTAATGTAATGTACTTTAATTTGAAAATAAAAAATTTGATCTCTGGACTTGTCTTCATGGTGAAAATGGCTACCAAATGCTATTTTTGTGTGAAAAATCTTGATTTTATTTTTTACATTTTTAACTTTATAATGCTATAACTTATTGAAAAGTGTATGGATCTACAAAATTTTTTTATGAGAAATAATATTTTTTAATAATCCCTTTTTCATTCGACATACTTTATCTTAAACAAGATATTAATAAGGAACTAGCAGATCATGTAGCTTTTGGAATAATACAACAATTTTTTAAAATTAAACACTGTCTAAAGATTTGCATCGAAGCGTTTTTTTTTTATAGTGATTTTAATCACTGTTAGATAACATTATATTTGATCCAACTATGCCACGTCCCCCCTATGCTGGGTTTTTTTTTACTTTAAAATGCTATATCTTTTTAAAAAATGTATGGATCAATACAATTTTTTCATAAGAAGTAGTATTTATATACATCTTTCATTCGACATACTTTTTTTTTTAAATCAGATTATTTCCTTATATACGGGGTGGTTCAAATCTGAAAAATGTATATAGAAAGTAGAACTTTTTCAACTTAATTTTTGAAAGTGTTCCGGAAACCCTGACACTTTTATATATATCTTAAATTAAAATTAAAATATATTAAACGTAAAATGTAATTTACGTGTGAAAAAAATAACCTAATATAACATACTCATAAATGGTATATAATTCTTTATCCTCTTTCAAACATTTTTTTACCTCATCTAAGTTTATTTCTACCTCGTTAATAATACTAAATATATTTATTTATTCTTCATTAATATTAATTTGGCTAACTAAAGGTAACCTCGATAATGCATCCGCATGTGTCATACTCTTACTAGGACGGCATTGAAAGGTATAATCATACATGGATAACATTACTGCCCATCTTTGTAACCGAGAAACTACCGATGATCCTTTCTCAGGACTAAATATTTCTTTTATAACTTGCAAATCTGAGCACAATATAAATTTATTCCCATAATTGTATTTGTGAAATTTTTAATAGCAAAAATAATAGCTAAAGCTTCTCTATGAAGTTGAGAATATTTTTGTTCAGTCACAGATAGTGTACTTGACATAAACATTACTGGCTTTTCCACTCCATCTACCACATGCCCCAACACTGCTCCTACTCCATAAGGTGATCCATTAGCTAAATCACTATAGCCTTTTTTAGATTATTAATTTTAGAAATTATTATTAACACTAAATTTATGAAAAAGGCTAAAAATTTCGTTAAAATAACTTATTATATATTTTTTGTATATATATCGTAATAAATTATTTCATTGGAAATATTAATAATTTCTATGTAACATAAATAGATGATACATTTGAAATATTCAGAACTATTTTTCTTAAAGTTATATTTTATAGTTTTTAATTATTTAGTAATAACATCAAAAATTATTTGTGATAGAAAAAATATAATTATTGATTTAAAATTAGCACGATAAATTGAATAATTAAAGTAAATTTTTGACTCGGATAAAATTTTTTTCTGACTATTTATTCATAATTAACAACAAATTATTATCTAAAAAGTTCTGTATTAAGTCTTTTAATTATTATACACGTTTGTCATATAACTAATAACTACTTTATAATTTTTTATAATTTTCCGAAAAAATTACAATACTAAATTATTAAATATCAATTTCATACTACGTTGAATTGCTTTAATAGATATTTATTCATATATTATGTTTATAAAGCAACTACTAATTAGGAATTATGATAGAAATAGGAGTTAATTTACTTTAAGAATAATCAACCAATTTATTAAAATTAAAGATTATCTATAGATTGTTTTTACTTAAAACTGCCATAACTTTTTTAAAAGAGACCAAATCAATATCACTTTTTTTCATAAATACATGAGATATTACTTTTTGAAAAATGTATGGATCAATACAATTTTTTTATGAAAAATACTATTTATATACCTTTTTTATTCGACATAATGATATCAAAATTATTTTAATATTATAAAATAATAATTAATAATTAGAAAAATATTAAATTGAACTCACGAATTACAAAAAATATCGTTATTATATTTGCTAAAATTCGATTAGGATTTTACAGTTATAATATACAATATTT